AATGGAAACCATTTTATCAAATTACGTATCGCCACGCATTCCACGCATTCCACGCTCGAGCATCGCCTCCGTCGAACATATTTGCTCCGTACATCGGCAATAAATAATCAGCGTTTGTCTATGGTACTGCTATACTATCTCACGAGACATTGTACATTAGGTTGCAGTAATAATCCGACTTGATGCAAACACGACAAGGCAATGTACGACGTGACTAGTACTAAAATAAACAAATGCGATGAAAACGATGGTGGTTATGGATCGTTTACGTTAAAACTACGCTATCTATCACCTTCGATGGCTATCGAACCTTGAAATCTTGACTGGTCGAGTTGGTGTACGTTAACGGCTATTTAATTTCCTTTTTCTAAAACGGCCACTTATATAAGAATATCGATTAATTCCACAGTTTCTTGTTATTTATAGAAAATATATAGAGATATTTTCGAAAAGGAAAGTCTAACGCAACCGCCTTTATCATAAGTGGGATATTACGAGCTTAACTACGCTAGACATTATACTCGTCGATATAGATCGACAACAATCGAATAGATATTGTACTCGTATACATCGCGTTACAAATATAACGAAATTCTAAATAACAGGCTCCAAGTTGAATTAGTAACGAGTTTGTCTATCGATTAGCATACATCAAGTAAAATAGAATAGCTAAAGAGATACAACTTAAACACAGATTCGTTTCATCTATCAAATATTGTAACGAGCGTTTCATTTCGCATATTTTACATATTTTTGCATCTTGTATCTCGCTCTATAAATTTTACTTGGAATTCTGTTTCTAATCCTAGTTCAGAAATCAGACTATACGCAAAGAAAATCGTATTCTATTTCTTTTGTTTGGATATTAGATCATCGTCCCAATACCGCAGCCAATGCATCGATACTACCCGATACTACTAGCCATCCGATCGACCAACAAGAAAACGCTCGATCGATCTTCCACTCTGATCATCTGCCAATTCTTCGCAATTCTCATAAAACGAACGCAACGCAATCGCATTTATACAGTCATTACCGACGTTTCTTCAGTCGCACAAACGCTTACGCTCTACGATCGTAACGTCGTTAAACCAATTTACCGAAAGTCCACATCTGGACAAATTGTCAAGAGTATATACAGAGTGGTTGGTAACTGGTGGTACAAGCGGAAAGGGGGTGATTCTAGGCGAAAAAAGAAGTCGAAAATATAGAATAAACATTTTTTTTTCATTTTTCCATCGAGACAACGATCTACAGTGAGATCCGTTATAACGTACCGCACGCGTACCGAGCGAAAGTTCAAAGTCGATTTTCTCGAAAACAAAGCCTCGAACGAAAAATTTTTATTCTATATTTTCGACTTCTTTTTTCGCCTAGAATCAACCCTTTTCCGCTTGTACCACCAGTTACCAACCACCCTGTATATATGTAAGAATACGTAAAGATAATAAGTATAAAAGAAAGAATTCTTTTCGTTATCAAGTTTTCAGCAAAAGTTGTTATTTTTTCATCGAAGATTTTGAAAATGCTTTCTCTTTATACAATCGATGCTACTATTACAGAAAAATCCTGGTAAGCGAAGAGACAGACGGTTCGAAGTAAACATTCCAGATATCGTGGAAAAGATACAGGGAAGCATTTATCCCGAGCTTGTGGTTTCCATTTGAAACCGCAATTCTCGATATTTTTACGATGCTCTACGTGAATCGTGATAGAAGTTTGTACCATTGGCTTGCATCCAGTGCCTTATTTCGCCTAGATAAAATTGGCAGCTTATAAAAATTACCGCGTCGCGTACGATCGCGTCTCCATTATTGTCATTTTATAAATATCAATTTCCACGAATCATAGATTTTTCAGTTTCCAAGCTATCTTCAAGAACGTAGACGATATATTTATTGCAAAATTTATTACATTCCGCGATATATCGAACTTTATTTGGTTTTCCTTTTCTTTTCTCCCTTCGCGTTCATCCTTTACATTTTCTTTGTCATTATCTTAAATCGGTTAGATTTCATCGAAAGATCGATGACAGTAACGTATCACGGTTCCGATCAATTACGTCACAGTATTCGCGAAAGATGAAAGAAAAAATTGATACTCGAACGGTTTCACCTTCTAAGAACATATAACAGTGGAATAAATACAATTTCAAAAGCGTTAGGTAATTTTCACCGAATGATTCGGCGATATTACAACGAAGAAGATCGATGCCTTCTTCGTTATACTGTGAATTGTTAGACAATCCAGCGAGAAATCCAGCTTGGAGATGTTGAAACGCGAATCATCGATACGTCGCCAGTCAGATAAAATGTGTTTTTGCAACGGTAAATTAGCAACGATATCGTCTACTAGATCATCGAATTCGAAATTTAAATAACCAACTTCCCGCACTTGTGAAACGATAATTAATTTTCGGGTCGTTAACATTTTATATTTATAAAATTACGAACATTTAAGCAAAGGAGTGTATCTCGACGTGTAAAATCCATTTTGTCCCAAAACGGGAAAGGCCCAAAAATACGTCGCTATATCAAATCAAGGTCTTTGAAAATAAAGGGAAAGTCGACTTTGTCACTTTTTACCGAGTATTGCTTTATCTTTGCTCTTGCTTTATGTAATAACGCGTTAATGCAGACGATCTTTGTAAAATATCGACAAAATACCCACGAAATTACTCGAACGTTAAACATTTAAAAAGTCCACTATGCTGTTTGCTGTTAGTTAAATTTATTTAAGCAATTACATAAAGGTTTACGTTCGCGGTTAGGTTTGTCGTAATTTGGCAAATTTTGACTCGTTTTCGAGGATATGCCGAATACGTTAAGAAAAAAGTAAATTCTTCCAATTTACTTTCGAAAGGCTCTGAATGAGTATACTTGTTCGAACGGTCAAAAAATTAATGCGATCATAAAGAGAAAGTGATATCTTTGCGAAAGCCTGTTCAGAGTGGACCACGTAATTTTATCGCATTTACTATTTCCAAATGCGTTTTTTTTTTACTAAGAACGATTCGATGTGAAATTGTTGCATCCCGAAGTTACATAAAAATATAGAGATTATATCGAACGTTTTTACAGAAACGTTTACTTAAAACTTTTAGTCGAGATAAGGTAAGACGTGATTTTCTGTATCAATAAAATTACATGTTCGTGTATGTATTTGAGAAATACGTATTTATTTACGGAAGCAAGCGAACAAAGAGTTATTTCCGTTTTAAAGCGTGTTTACAGCGACATTTAAACGTTTTGACAGTGACTGATCAAGGCAGGTTGCGAGGCAGCTGAACTTGCCCTAAATATCAAATAATAGTTTGAGTAGTTCCAGTAGTTGCAGTCAACGTACCGTGTAATAATACAGCGAAACATGCCTACAGGTGAAACGGTACAAAGAAAAGTTCGGGTTAATGGTTCCGTCTAAGACCGATCGAACAGATATCGTTCGTTAGAAAAGAAAGTTATACGTAAATTACGAATTATTTAATCTCGATTTATAAATAATATAAGTGACCTATTCGTTTAATCGCGTTTAAAAGGGTCGCGTTTTCTACATAGCATCGTAGAAAAATACGGGACAATTATTAAATCAAATAAAATGATCCGCGAGTTCGAACGAAATTTCGACTATTCAGCTACTTTTACGCTATTTGGTCCTGTTAACGACGATCTAACAGATTCCAAGTCGTCGCCATGATATTTAAGTTAAGACGTTTATTTGAATTCACGAGGACGTGCCGTAACGACAGTTTAACGACACTGCGAGATAGAAACTAAACGCCTCGTAAACGGAAAGAAATGTTACCCGAACCTTGCGGTAATCGTTAAGGTGAAAGGTCATACCTCGATGTCCTGTTGCATCCAACACGCACATAGCGCAATATTTCAATTTATACCGAAACTTTGCAGTGCCAACGAAACAGTTTTGCAAAATCGAACGATACAGAGATACAGAGAACGCGTATCTAATGTACAAAAATGGATGAAATATCCAAAGGAGAATACCAGTTAGAATTTTCAAAATTTTAATCGTGCCGATAAAAATATAAATTCGCGCAAGAATCTGTAGCCTAATTACTAGGGTAATATCGTTTAGCGAAGAAAGTTTCGTCAAGTTCTTTTTTACAAAAAATCCAATTTATGTGAAAACGCGATCGCGGATTATTTAATACTTGCCGAGAAGAAAATATTCTCCGAGAACGTACAATCATCTTATCGTCAAACTTCGAATTATTTTTACTTTTTCCACCTCGTTCCACCTCAGGATCAAAAGTTATTTTAAAAAATTGTACGTAGCTCGCTCTTTAATTTCTCCATTTAATTAGATAAACAATACGTGATTGTTCAACATCTTCGTAGCTGTCTTTAAAATTGCACGTATGAATATGTACATATCGATATATACACGATATACACATCGAAGGCAAAGTAATTCGAAAATATTGCTCTTATCGGTCGTTTTACGAAGTTCGCAGCTTATTTTATCCACGGACACTCGGATACAGAAATATTTCGCAAATCTATTCTACCAAGGCGAAAAATTTTATCAACCGTCAGAAGGCTCGAGCGCGGCAAGTTCCATCAAATTCTCTGCCATCCGCTGTAATTCGCGTATACGATCGATGTTTCGCGTACTTTCTTCGCGCGTATTAGCGTGCAAAATAATTAAGAATATTAATTTTCTACGCTGTACGATTTTCTAAATCGTCTAGTAGATTCTGTATCCATTCGTTGGCCTTTAAATTCTAACAATTTTCTTGTTACACGATTGACCCGCGCGTCATTTACAGGAAACGCAACTTTTATCGAACAAACGAGACGATCCCTGTTTTCGACAACTCCTCCGAAAGTTTCTAATAAAATTATTGCAAGACAGGGCTATCGCCGATAGATCACCGAGTACTAGACTCGTGACCGTATTCTTTGCTCTATCGTAGATGATAGGATGCGTAACATCCACGTTCTTCGCCACTTTCGGATAAGAAATTATTCGTATTTACTTACGTAAAGTAGCCGACAGACGTTCCCTATATGCGCGCACAACCAGGTTCGTTAACTGGTCGGTAAAATCCCTCTTTATGTAACGCACAACAGTTTCGTCGAGGTAAGCGATTGGAAGGAACAAAACCATACGAGGCAGGTTTCTCTATCGGCAAGGTGCTACACGCGCATATTTGTCGGTCGTACTCATTTAGACCGTGATCGCCGTTTCCCTTGCTCGCGATATCCCTCGTAGGATTTCCTCTTCAACCTACTTTCCACCTTGCAACCAAGCCTGCTTATCACCTTATCGTTTGATTGTTTCTCCACTGACCGGCGATCGGCGTCGGATTCGTCCCTTTCGTCGATTTTGCGTATCTTCTTCGCGCGTATCGTCTATCCAAAGAAATCAACCATCGGTGATTCTTTTATGAAAATTTGTCGAGCGATGGTATAGAAACTTGAGTACCAAAGGCGAAGCTTCCAACCAGGTAGCATACGACTAATCGTGAGCCTCGAAGTGGCGATGGCACGTGATTTTTCTGCAGCGATTAGCGACCAAAGGAAGGGAGGCGGTCGAGTTTTGTATCTTGCATTATATTGCAAACTCTTATCTTTTATTTTTACTGTTCAAAATTTCATATCTTACTCCCTACACTTGCTTGTGCGAGGCCAAGGTAGAAATATCAAAATCCAATCTTCCTGTGTGTAGCAACGTCGAACAGGCGGACTTTTGCCCAATCCATCACTTTGGCGGGACAAAATTTGGAAAATTCTGAGAACGGTTCGACCTCTTCCTCGACGAAGATTCGCCGCACGAACGTGAAAAGATATAGAATCGAACGAAGGATCGTCGATTTCCGAAAGTTTGACAGCTCGAAGACGAATGTTGGAAAGATACGCGCGCGTGTTCTTCGATCCTGTCGAATCGCGAGGTGAATGAGGAGATAGCGAAACGGTATTGCAGCGTGGACCACGGTAACGAGAACGCGGTGCCCACCAACCGGCCAAAGAAAGTGGTAGGGACAGCAGGTAAAGGTACGAGAGTTCCCGAGAACTGTCTATACGCCACGCATCCAACCTCGCTCTCTTGCCGGATTCTCTTTGACGAAATTTTGCTCGCTTTACCGGTCCGATGCGAAGTGAAAATCTCCCTTATCGCGTGAACGCCGTGGGAAACTATGCGACTAATGTTACAGCGTGTCGCACGGATTACTTTCGACCGTGTTTCAACCCTTGGAAGGTCGGGTCACGGTTCCACGGATAATATTCGTCGCTTATTCGATGACGAAACTATTTCGCACGCTTCGAACGGTCATTTCCAGAATGTCGATAATGAACGTAATGAACGTAAAAAAATAAATGTTTATACGTCTGTGGCAAATTCAAAGCTGGCAAAAATCTATGCAATGCATACAATACGCAAACAAAATAGGAATTTTCGATGTATCGTAATTGTAACTATGTACAGAGCTACAGCCAGAGTTTGGCCATGAAATAAATCCGTTTAACTTATCCGTGGTCGGCATGCTGTGATAAATTAATATATTTTCGTAAAACGTTTTACGTCAGAATCCTAGAAAGTTGCAAGACGGGATTGTAAAACGCGGATAGAGAGAATAGGCACGACGAAACATAAGCTTTAAAGCTTTATTTCGTATAAATACATCGCAACGATGCGTGTAATGGCACAATTCGATAATTAATTGGCGATAACGGATACGAGATTGTATAACACGAGAGAATTCACAAACTAATTTGCTTTAAATTATTCGAAGTAAAATGAGTATTTTATACGCTATGTAGGGCATAATAAATTACATTTATTCTTAATCGTAATTTTAATTGTCGAAGTATTTGAAGTAATTAACATCTAATTAGATATAATTAAAATTACAGCGAAATTGGCTCTGTTGCATAGAACGATCTTCAACAACCTTATTTTTAAACTTATTATAACAATCTTTTACAGTATACGTATAATCTCGTACGACAAAGAATTCGATTAACTTTCTTACTATTAATAATGAAAGATTTATGTCTCTTATATTCTAGTCAAACTAATTTGTATATCCTTATATATATATATAATCTGTATATCCTTATATATATATGTAATCTGTATATATAATTTGTATATCCTTATATATATATAATCCTTATATATAAGGATATACAAATTAGTTAGTAGAACAAAAAATTATTATAAAGCATTTTTAGTTTATATTTTTAATAGTTTCTAACTATTTTTTACGGATCGTTAAAACGTACACTGTCAGATACAAACAGATAATTACGTATAATAAGTTAATCGTGAATTCATACTTCTGATAATATCCGGATTTGGACCGACCTGGTTTATCAACCGAATAGAAAATAGTACATACGCGCATAACGAATAATGTGCAAGGCATACTACATCCTACAACTACGCTCAAAATTAATGACGCAAAATTAATGATCAAACGAATACAATTTTCCGCGCTATTTTGTTCAACTCTCTTTAATCTCAGTTTAAATCGTTTGAATTCCTATTAAATTTTTGCAAAATATATATGCTCTCCCATATTTCATAGATTTTCATAGATTCTCATGGATGTAAAGGAGAATTTTAAAATATTATTTTTATGTTGTGAAATAATGTTTATGATATAAGATATTTGATTATTTCAGTATCCGTTATGTTGACCGTTCATAGAAGAGTATTTAAATTTTATTCCAAGCATGAGGTTTTATATGTATTTGCAGCCAGAAGACGTCCGACCTGAAAAAATATACGAATTTTAGTTGAAAAGAACATACGTCAGAGTTGTGTAATTAGAAAACATGTCAATATTGGCGCAAAAATCGAAGATCCACGTCGTGATACTTTTTCACAATACCAATGTCAGTCATTTAGAAAACGTTTCTCCGAAAATAAATAACCTGTCGTTGGCTAAAACAATTGATTTGAACAACGCGCTTTGCGTATGTAGGTAATATTTTTTACTGTAAAACAAATTCCTCAACATCCTTAAAACTTCCATCGTTTTTATATAACCATACTGATATAGGATATTTTCTTTCTATTCCAATCAAAAATATTTATAGATGAAATATTTCTATCCTTTTACGCCATATCTAGAATATAGATACCTTGGATATTGAAATATCATTTTCAATTATCAAATAATATTTATTCTCATAGAAGAAATATAATTTGTAAATTTATCGTTCCATAATATGGTAGCACGTAAAATTAGAAATTCCGTAATTCGACGTAATTTAATAATCGTATAATCGTAAAGAGAAAATATCGCATAAAGATGATTCAGGTAAGATACAAAGAAATATTGCAAAATTTGAAAGAATGCAAAATTGGGAAACAGGCAACGTTTCTAACCAACAAAAACGAATTGATTAACCCCATGACTTTCTTGTTTCGCGTGTTTCACGTTAAGCAACCAATTAAATGTGTAAGCTTCGGTTACTCAAATTTACCTGCGCATCGTGATTGTTTCTTGTGCGAAATGATATTATACGTGAAAGGGAAATCGTTACAATTATTTTTCTTTGACAAGTTCATAAATTATAGCTAACCCATCGTGTTTCCAACTTTTAAACTTATGTTACCACTAACTATAGTTAGAAAACGTGAATAAAGATATACAAACAGAGCAATGCTATATATAATATGCAATAAGCCAGATTGTAGCTCCTGTTTAAGTAGTGGGACCAATTTTATCCTTCTAGGATCTTTTTCTTTTCGTAAACTAAGCAATGCACTTACGACTGCGATTTTTTAAATGGAATCGGAGATACGTATTTCTTAAATATATTTATTTTACCTTACCATTATTTTATTTATAACTGAAGTTCTGCGGTTAATATTACTGTTGCATACAAGGGTATAACATAAAACGTAACTTATACTATATAAAAACGTATTATCGATTATTAATCATATCTATGTAGGATCGTTACATGCGTGACTAAAACATACAATCGTGTAATAGGAACATGTGCCAACATGATCAAACGTACGCTTATTGCTACAATCAAAACGTGTGACGCCATCTCCGAGTTGTTGCTAAAACTAGGATCAGTTATTCGCAGATTCATTGATCGATTGATAAAACAAAATATATAGAATATAATGAAAAAAAATACATTTGTTTTATTTATTAATCATAATATTTTATGATATACAAATTTAATTCGTGTAAAGGAAATCCGTTATTATTATAAACTATAATTATCTTTCTTGATTTGTATCTTGATCAGAGAAAACTTTCTTCAACACCCGATAACATACATCTATCTGCTCGGGATTTTCTTCTTGCTTCAAATCCCTTATGTATTGCTCCAATGTAGATTGTAAGGACAGTTCCGGGCGCCGACATTCTTTTAAAGCAGGCAGAAAATCATCGTTGGTCAAACCATCGAGGATGTTTAACAATTGATCTCTGAAACACGAAGGATCGTTTTAGTTTGCTTCGGTGGTATAAAAAATGATGGAAATCGTATACTACCTTATCTCTGGAAGCAGATCACCGATGGCCAGTAAACCTATCGCTTGCTCGATCAAACCCATATTTACCAAGGTTAATTTTAAATTATTTACATTTTCCTTGTTACAAAGAGACGATAAGAGAAACGCAGATTTAATTTGCAACTTCTTTATCGAACTTTGCATAGCTCTCAAGAGGACAGAATATCCATCGTTTATGTCCATGTATGTCAGGGATATTGGATGCCCTCGAACAATGCCTATATTTAGCGTATAACTAATTTGTATCATCAATTATAAATGAATGTAAATATGACATAGATGTAACGAATAATTAACAAAGCATAAATCAATGCAACTGCTGCTATTTAAATAAAAGCTTTTTACTTTTACTTACAGGAAATTGCATACAGAGCTTTTATCTTAACAGTTTCTACAGGATCTGTATCTATCATATTCAATAACGTGGGAAATAGGCCAGTTTCTAGAAATCTTTCTTGGCAAAAGGGATTATTTTGAGCTAGCTCGGCAATTATATCTGCTGCTCTCCATCTAATACTGCTATGAGGACAGTTTAAACATGGACCAAATATCGTAAAACCTCCTATTTTATAAAAATCATTAGCAATATCTATATTATCTACAAAATCTGCAATCCTTTCCAATGCAGATTCGTGTTCTGATGTGTCATTGTCTGGTCGCAGGTCAACTACATTTGACAACAATTTAATAGCTTTCTGTAGTTCTTCGGTTACATTACACGATAACGAGCTGAGTGTTTGTTTCAGAAATTCACGCCTCTGTAAATACGGTTCAATTTTAATCAATTTCCTATGGATATTCTATAACGTTAATACACATTTATGTTACCAACTTCTTCATCCATAGGTTGTAATTGGATATTACTGTTTCTATTCTGAGAATTGCCTGCTTCTACAGCAAATCTAAGCAATCCTTGTACAGTTGTTGGTTGCCTAGGTTGGTTTGGTAATGGTTCAAATACTTGCGGATCGGTGTTATTCATGTTAGATGGTCCTTCAATTGATAGTGGCCTCGCGTTGCTGTTTACGCGAGGTTGTTCTTCTGTTTTTTCTCGACTGTTTGGATGTTGAGAACTGAAATATGTAGTATCCGAAAACGGATAACCTATAATTACTTTCAGATATCAATCATAAAGAAATATGACATTATAAAAAATCAATTTTACTTCTCCATTTTTTCTGTAACTTTAGTCGTCTGCGCTGCACCCATTAATCAATTAAATCAGTCTCGCGTAAACGTTTCTCTAATAAAATAAAGACAAGAGAGCATTATAGACTTCAATCTGTATCACTGTTAATGGCCTCCTAGATGCAAATTCCAGAAACGAGGAGAATTTCCAGATAACGTGTTTTTCTTATTGAAAACAATTTTGAGACTAGACAAAATTGGTTAAAGGCGTAAATAACTTTGTCACACGCGTGCGCGAAAGTACTTGGAAACTTCAGAAAAAAATATAAATCCATCAATTTATCAGCTTTAACCAATCTATTATGCCTTAGATGATAAATATTATATTGATGAGTATAACTGTAGATTATTAAAGAATGTTATATTAAATACATGTATTTATTAGAATTTGATATAATATCATATATATACACACACACACACACACACACACACACACATTTTGCAATCAAGTATATCAATAAGAAAACAAAACATTTATATATTTTATTACATTTCTTTTCCTTTTTACATAGTACATATTGTATATATTACGTATTATTATATATTATTGTATGTAATATGTATTGTATATTATAAAAATACAGATTTTCAATATGTACAAACTATTTGTAGAACTTCATTCTGTCCACCTATGAGAACAATGTTGGTTAGTACACACATAATATAATCTCATCTCTTCTTCTGCTCGTCTTGTTTGTGCTTGAAAGAATACTGCTTCTCTGTGGTTACACTTTGGACACGGATGCTCTTCGGTTCTTGGTAAAGTAGGGTCTGATATAACATCCGCAACAATGTGTGTCAACTCGCTGAAATCATAAAAATTATAGTAAGATGGAATAGCAGTAAATGTATTAAACAAATCCTTTTTTAAGAGCTCTTAAGTATATGCTTAAAAGTACTCTTATACAAGTTTTTGTCAAAATTTCATAAATGTTGTTGTGAATGTATGAATATACAAGTTATTATTTCCACTTACTCTATTTCGTGCATAATTTTATTTACGTAGATACAATTGCTATCAGCAAGTTGTTTGAAATCACAATTTCTGCACTAAAAAAAAAATTGATTAAATTAAACAAATTTCAATGTATTGATTAAAAAAGCAACGTACATTTCAAATATACATATATATATATATATATATATATAAAATACCTACTGCGTACATTAGTACTTTATTCTCCTTATCTTCTTTTGGATATAACATGTTATTACATTCTTGACAAAATCTAATGCCGACGAAACCTGGACCATCATCGTGCGTATCATAACCACCTATTTTAGACATATTTCGCGCGCTTCCGCCTCCTTCTTCCGTAGTAAAATATAATATATATAGATAGATAGACAGACAGATGTAAAATGCAATGAAATCAATGTTTATCTAATACCATGCACAATAAAAGACAGTTATCTTTTAATCATGGTATACATAGATTTAAGATTATACAATGAATCAAAGTATTAGAGCTTAATAACAATTTCTTATATATGTATATTTCATGAAATTACATCTCGTCATAACTAGTTATATTAACACTCAGAATCGCATCAAATAATAATTATTTGTCAATAAAAGGAAAAGAGATACATAAGTACTTTACTTTGGAATATTTTTCTAAACCAATTAAATTCACGAATAAAATTAACCATACAGCAATTTATTCTCATTGGTTGCGACACAATCGATAATTTTAATAGAAGATATGTCTGAATCGGTTATATAGGTGAAAATTATATAATATAGGAATCTATAAATTATATAGTGAAGAAAGAGAAAATTTAAAAACATAGACGCATAAAGTTGTTAATATAAAAATAATCGCTTTAACCAATTGTCGTCTGAGTAGTGTTTTAATATTTTGGTGCTATACGTTGGAAGCTTGAATCGATGAAGATGTTGATAACCTAATTTCGTTAAAATTTATGGAGCGTTCTCATGTAATGGCGCGAATGTGTATAGAATATAGAATTCAGTTTGGAGAAACAGCGTCTTATTTTAATTAACAAGTATGCAACATAATTAGATTTGTCGAGATTCGTAAAAATTTTCGCATTAAGGAAAAATGGAGAGGCGTTAACAAAGAAACGATTATGTTCAAACTATTCAACCGGTAAAAACATGAAGTACGTGTCGTTAGTGTAGTTGTTCGATAGAAGATGAGATTTAATATAAAATGAGAAATGATCCGTTAGTATGATAGAAGATTAGTATGATAAAAAGCGTAGAATAGAAATATTTTGATTGAAATATTAATTTGCTAATAGAGATTGTATAAAACGGTGAAATTATTGAACTAAAAGAGCAAGAAATTTGCACGACGTATAGTAAAAATACATACGTAGATAAATAATGCATAAATATAGATAGAAGAGTTTTAGAGTGAGACTCAGGGAATTGAACGTTCGTAAGAGTTTTCACAGGAAAGAGGTGCGCTAGTGTTCCACTAAGCTACCCCCAGCCTTACTACCCCCACCCTTTCGTTCCAGCTCCCCTAGCTAGTGCAAATCTCGGCGGATGAATGTTTTCTTAAGGGATTCTTCCCGAAAGCGACGCGAAAATCTGAAAGGAGTCGATCGAGCTGGAAATTCGTGAGTGAAATCATTTATTGGAAAATTCATATTACATTCCGTTGTCTACATTCGGAAAGTTGATAGGATTTGATATCGGAAATTAAAAAGAAAGACGAAACTTGTGTTCAAGGCGTTCCTGGGGGGTGATGGCACTCACGCCGACAGCGTCTCCCACAAAGATTTCACCATTTTTCTATTGACAAAAAAATCTTATACTTGATCGCGTACATTGAATATTTTTTGGTTAACCTGTCGGCTAGTGTGCTTTGAGCACGTGATTACGATAAACGCCGCGTAACTAAAGTTTGTATTTAAACATTTTTCCCGAGGAATTCGTTTATGTGCTTCCGACGACAGATTTGTTTTGTTGCACATTCGTTCTCGGCTAGTGCCATGGAATTTCTTTAAAAGTTTCTCGATGTTGGCCTCCTCGTTTCTAATTCTACTGAGCTAAGGTAGAATTACTAATTCGAATATCCGATCGTAATTGTATCTTTTATATTTTTCAATGGTATATTATGTATTTATATATAATTACTTATGGCAGTAGTCGAACGCGTATAACTGATACTAAAGTTTCTTTGGTAATACAGCCATATTGTACATTGTATTAAACAAATTTTCTTAAGTAAGTCTATCTCCTATGTTTATATTTGGTTTTTTCATATTCTACATTTAGCAAGCATATATTTCTTATTTTTATGAATGGACTCTATTGTCAGATTTATTGTTTAATCACCTTACCAAATTACAATGCTCTAGTAAAAGAAATTGGATAATCTATTTGCCTATCGAATCTTTGTATATAGCTTTTATTTATTGCTATTTATGTTAGGTTTGAAGTTCGATGAATTTGCATTGATGAGCTTCTTCGAAATACATCAAATATTCTTAACATCACATACCTTTATGTAAATGAAGGTAAAAGATAACATCGTTTAGTAGATACAGGGAAAGGGAAAATTTGATAATAATATCAACACGAGCAATATCTATGCCAAGATAGAAAGCATTCGGAATAATATATAAAGTGATGTCATAAATTTTACAACGATACAGAAATTAAGGAATTATTCATGATATTCATTCCATAACAATTGAAATTGTGCTTTATGTATTGCTCAATGTTGGATCGTTTGCAGCATTTTTCTGATAAAAAATATTTTTTGAATTGTTAAAGTATAAAATAGGTGATGTATAAAAGGAAATCTGTTATTGACAGGAAAATTGCTGTAAAGCTGCAGAATAATGGAAGGCGGTAGCAATTTACATAACCCGGGTAATTATCCCGGTGGGGACCGCCAACAATTTTGCGTTTCATGGAACTCTCATCAGTCAAATATGCACAGTGCATTTCCAAAACTTTTAAGTTCTGAACAATTTGTCGATGTCACTTTAGCCTGCGACGGAGGCTCTATAAAATGTCACAAAGTGGTACTGTCCGCTTGTAGTGATTATTTGGAACGTTTGCTATTAGAAATACCATGCACTCATCCTATTATATTTTTGAGAGATATGAGGATGTGGGAACTTCAAGCTTTAGTGGAGTTTATGTATCGTGGTGAAGTATATGTGGAGCAACAGCAGCTGGGTAAATTAATGCAAGCTGCTGAAGTTTTACAGGTAAGTGGGTAACGATACTGTTCAAGTACCGATTTATTATCTATCTTTGTAAGTAATGTTTTGGAACAAGTACATGTTGATTCGATTAATCTTTATGGCGGTAATATCATTATTAGGTTCGTGGTTTATCCACTCAAGGGAATGATAATTCTTCGAGTGAAGGTAGTTCTCAACAATGCGACTCTAACGCCGCTGTTGCACCATCTACGGCTGCACAGCAGGATGGATCTGACTATAAAGGCGAGGAAACTCCATCTGATGATGGAACTTCGAGTGCTACCTTTTTAGAGACTACGTCAATTGCTGCGACCAGTACAGCAAGCGCTCCATCACACAGTACTACACCAGTTCCGCAGAATCCGAATTCATCAAATTTTATGAATATGGAACATAGCGAGGCGTTACAGCATTTGGAAAAGGCCCTTAGCGCTTGTGAAGCGACATTAACTGAAACACCAGGAATGGTTAAAATGGAGCCGGATGAGCAGTTTACCCAACAGCATGATGTCAAACCGTACTCTATTAGTATGGTACCAAGCAGTAATTGTAATCCTAGTAGTCCGTTTCCTGCGATCGAAGGTAAGAAACGAAAGTAGAGTAGAAGAAAATGAACAAATAATAAAAAAGGAATTGAGAAAACAGCGCAGGAACTTTATTGTTTTACAATTAAAATTTGTGTAAAATAACGTATGTTCTTCTTTTCGTAACATTTCGATATTGAACATAAACACTGGACACTGAACGATAATTATCGAGTACATTAGGCATTATATTTATATCAAAAAGTTAAGGTTTTATCGGATCAAGCGATAACAGGATAAAATAGTTTCTCCGCTTCATCGTATTTTGTGTAATTTTCAGGCTATCAGAGACGGCAAAGACGTTCGGAAGAAGAATTGAAGCAAGCTTCGGATATGGTAGCACGTGGTATGACATTTCAAGTTGCTTCGGAAAAGTACAAAATTCCGATAAGTACGATTCGATTCTATATGGTTAGAAAAGGTATATTGCAAAGGCGAAAACGCGGTCGTGGTTCAAGTAATCTTGGTATGAATAGTCAACCGGGAAGTCCTGCAAGCCCGCCATATCATATGATGAACTATCGTTTGCCAGAAAGCCTAAACTCCAGCCTACCGTAGTGCTGTACGAAAAGTAGCCAGTTTTTAGACTTGAGTTGAATCGAACAAATTTTTTATTGCCACGTCGGAGCTGTTCCAGACTGTCATTCTTCCCATCTTTATTGACTCACACTGAGTTATCCGTTTCTCGTTTATACATTCACGATTCACGTGATCACGTATGTCCAATGCGAGTGCGTTTTCGCCAAACTCGTTATACTATACACATTCATTGCATTTACAGAAGATAGTAATTTAATAGAAAATAATTAACAAAGTGTACGTATCGTACACAATAGACACGATTTTAGTCTCGAACAGCTCGGTTCTGTGTACATACGCATCATATGCGAGTTTTCGAACGCAGCATCGAAATGAAAAGACCACAGAGTGATGGAAAAAAGGGAAGAAAGATCATCTAAAAGTTATGCAAGAGCATTTCGTTCATTTAATAATTGAATTTTCACTCATTTCATACGATTCAGTTGGAAATAATTCAATATTGATTGTAAATAATACTAGTTTTCTTCTTTTCTGGTTTTCCATACTATATTGTAATACTGTAATCAAAGGAAGTAACGCGTCTCGATGCAGCGTTCGAAGACCATCCGTACGGTTCAGTTTTGGGCCGTGTTCCGTTCTTCTACTTAGTGACACATACACCTTGCGTACATGGATAACGTAAGAGGTATTTTTTTGAGTCCTATACACAGATTGCTACAACAGATTTACAAAATACGGTTCATGGAAAAGTTTGAACGTGTCACATCATATTTTTACGATCACTCGAAATCTTTTGATAATACGTATCTGTAGAATAGGTTATTTTTTATTACGTCCTATTTATACATATATATATGTATATGTGTGTGTATATACGTAAGCGTGCGCGCACGTCATGTTCGGCCTGCCTGTCTGTCCGTCTCTATCTGTCTGCCTAGTGTAAGTCTGTGTCTGCGCCTGTGTTTGAGTGTATGCGCGCGTGCGTACGTACATGTGTACATACGTACATAGATATGTATGTATATACATATATATGTGTATGTATATATATATATATTTATATAATATATTATATAATATATTATAATATATATTTATATTATAATATTGTATAATATATTATAATATTTGTAATATATATATGATATATATTTATAACATATATATAATATATATATTTATACATATACTTGAATAAAATGTATGTGTACTCAGTTAAGTTGCTTCTTTCGAATCCGAACAACAACCGGGATTAATCCGAGATTCTAGACATTGAATTTTGGCCCTATTGAAATGAACAAAATGTTCAACAAATTGAACAAATGAACAAGTCGTTCGTGAATGTTGTTTACTTACTTGCTTTTATTTAGCGCGAAATTAAATCGGCAACAACGGGGTCGAAGCTCGCGGTTCAAAAAGACGTACGATATATTGTAGTTGTTACAAGATCGTTAGCATCGTCCATGAACGAATTAGTCACTACGTTCAAGACTGGTAACACGTGGCTGATCCGCAACCACGTCGAATCTTATACCGCAAATCTGGGTCTACTACACAAATATTTTTGTAGACACTTTACGCGTGGAAGGTGTCTTCTTTCTGCCTTTGTATATGCGTGTGTTTATATATTTATATATGCATATATATATACACATACATGTACACACAAGCACGTATATACATACACCTATAAATATACAGTTATGAGAACAGAAGTTGTTGCATCGATAACTATACATGAACATATATCTATAAACGAAGCATATGAACATGTATACATAAATCGATAGCTATACACATTCAAATGCTCGATGAACCGGTATGCGTTAGAAGAGACTACAGTTTAACTTTGTCAAAGAAAAAAAGGAAAAAAAAAGGAAGCGGAAAATGAACGATCATGACATACGTAGCATAATGCTTTTTACATGCTAGTGTACAAATAACATTTATAATCTGTCGTCAAAATCCAGCAGTTTTCATAGAGGTGATCGAGTATACATTGTACGATCCTTTTATGAATACTGGATCTGCCTTTTCGAAAGATTACAATGATTACATACACTTGAAGTTGTGCATACACGACCAGCGCGCGTGCACGTATATCTTAACGTAGAATACACGTATGTGCACACGCGCGCACGCAGCATACACACACAACACACACACAGACTATAATCGTACAGTGTATTGCCTTTGTTAAATAGCATTCGGATAAAGCCATATTTTTCCATGCAATGCAATAATCCAGCAAAGTAAATTACCGTAAATGTGAAACAGCCTAAATAGAAGAGTGCCAGATATGAGAAAAAAGAAAAAAAGAAGGAAAAGAAAAGAAACTATAATGACGATGACGACGACGACGACGATGATGATGATGATGATGATGATGATGATGATGATAATGATGATGATGATAATGATAATGATGAAGAAGATAATGATAACAGTAATGATGGTATTGACGATAATAATTGATGTTGATTATGATGGTGGTGATGATGATGATGATGATAATGATGATGATGATGATAACGATGATGATTATGATGATAACGACGACGACGACGACCATGATGACGATGATGTCGATAATGATGTTGATGATGGCGACAATGATGCTGCTGCTGATGATGATAAACAGAAAGAAAGAGAAAGAGGGGGATAATAAGAAAAGTATTCAGAGTAAAACGCTATACAATTTCCTATCATTCAGAACGTATCTGCCTTTTATTCTGGCCTCGTGATAAATCCTGACTTTATTTATACTTGACAATATACGGAATACCGTGTAAAAAAGAGCAACTAAAAATTAGGTTAGGAAACTTTGTGAACATTTGGTTACTCGCGATACATGGCAAGACCTGATATTCAATCTCGTTCGCGCAAAATCGAGTTGGAAACGAATTGGAAAAATCTGTTATATGCGGGAAATTTTTTCTCGCTCCTCTCCTTCCATCTTTCCCTCCCTTACCCTCACTCTTTTTCAACCTGTTTAATTTTGTATTATAGCTGGATAGAATCTTTCGAAATGCACAAAGGAAAGAAGAGAGGAAGAGTGAGAGAGAGAAAGAGAGAGAGAGAGAGAGAGAGAGGAGGGAGAAACGTTTGCGACATTCTATAATTTTTATGTTTTTGTCTATCCTTTCTCCTGCTCTTCTTTTTTAAAAATGGATCCGGTTTCGTTTCCTTCTCTTAAGCCTAGTGATTTATGTTTCGTTTCGTAATGTTTAGTCGTTGACATTCAATTCGATTCAAGATCTTTGACGAAGTAGAACAAAGGAAGGGATAAAGGGTACAGCGTATGTGCGAGTGTTGTACGGTTAAAATCGGATGTTGGAATAACGAATAAGTAACGGAGAGTAGTTTTTTATTAAGATACATAGTATCGTCGCTTGAGGTTTCGTATCGCGCGAATCATCGTTCAAAGAGTTCCAGTTGACAAAGGTTTTATACAGATCTATTAAAAACCAGTATTTCAAACCAATGAAGAATAATTAGTTTTCTAATAATAACGATACATTTTACGTAAATTTAGTACAGTGCTTAAGTCAGTAATGCTCAGCGTATCTAACAAATATTTTTAGTGGAAAGCCGTGTCATACTCACGTGTATTATAATGCCCTTAAACTATGTAACTAAACAACAATCAAAGAAGCGTGAACGATACTTGATGACTATTATTATTATTACTACTATTACGATTATTATTAATTATTATTATTAATTATTATTATTAATTATTATTATTATTATTATATTACTACTACTACTATTACTACTACTACTACTACTACTACTACTACTACTACTCTTATTATTATAGTCATTTCCTTAGCCGTACGTAGATCGTAGCCATTTCGAGGCAGTTTACGTTATATTTAATTAGGTTATCGCTTCGGAATACATTTTTATGGCGGTATTATTATTTGTAGATAGAATTTACGATGATATTTCGTACGATAATCAATCGATTGCTATATTAAGATTTTATTTTACAGTTACCGAGATCAATGACCTGCGAATAGCGGAGAATGCGATCGATCGGTCTTTGCATTGGTCTTATTACACACCCATTGTTTCTTCTCTTTTATCACATTTTGCTTGATCCATATTTACATAAATACATATACTTATATACATATATTTTGTATTATATCTTCCATTAAAATGCTAAAGTATTGAACCTTTACCGTGAGAAACATGTTTTCCGAGATATGGTATTATACGAGGAAAAGAATAAACTGCGTGAGTGAAACAAAGAATGATTGAGAAAGAAGAGAAGACAAAGAGAGAGAGAGAGAGAGAGGGAGAGGTGGCGATAATGGAAAATTGCATTTTCCGAACTCCGCTTGAACGACGAGTACTTTATTAGAAGATTTGTCCATTTGGTAAAACTGTCGGTCGATCTTCCCGTCCCGAAGTATAACAGACCGATCGATCGATTCCTTGCTCGAATTACAATCGTGAAGAACGTTCTATAGATATTTTTCGAAGAAAACACAAGCCTATAAAAAGTCCAATTTTCTAAACGTAGGTTCCTTAAGAATAACAAATTTAGTGTAACCGTTAAGAAAGTGTAGCGTGTATACGTATTAAACGTAACGTCGCGTCGTATCGAGCGAGGTCCGTCTTGGAACGTTTATCGTTCTGAAGGAAATGAAGTGCGATCGGGCGATAATTTGTTCCCGATAAAAAGACGGGATCGTCCGATGTGACACGTGTTTTCGGGAGGCACGCACGCGCGTTTCGAACGCGAGTACGCGTCGCAAATAGACGGATAAATTAGCGATTAGCGGCAAATATAGATACATGATATGGAAATGTCGCGCAAAGCCCTGCGCTATTAAGTTGGACCGCATTCTCGCGAAGGTGTGTTGCACTCGTCGCTCCGAGTCTTATCGTGAAAAATTGAAATATAAAAGATTACCAAGAAGAATAAAAAAGTAAAAGGAGAAGTATAGAGGGTGTGGGAGAAGGAGAAAGTATCGAATTGTATTTCTTTTTCTTCCTTGTTTCTAAAATTTCTGTCGTGGCCCTTAAAGGATATGAAAACGCATGGAATGGCGTGTATGACGAGAGATAGGCAGAGAGATGGTAAAAGGGCAACGGCATCGTTCGCACGATTACCGAACTGATTTCGAGAGAGGAAACTTCCGATAAATCGGCTCTCCAGCATAAGAACACTAAAATCGCAGCAACGATAACGGATTTGAAGTTTCCTCGAATCGCAACACATAGGCACTTCTGTACAGAATTTTTCGTAGGTTGCGAAGATTTCCATTGAAAACTCTGCACTTGTCGGCTTCGTGAAATTAAAGTATTGTTGTTTGATTTACGCATAAGCTGTACGTTAAGGAAAAAAAAAATTGCTTATAATTTAGGGTCGTGTAACGTGTGTTAGCGAAGCATGCTTCTAAGTAGAAAGATAGGACAATGCTATAACAATAATTATTATAATTAAAATGAATTAAGAATATAAGGCATTTAATAAGTGCAAAGTATTTCTTAATAAAAGTACTTCCAAAAATGAGACTGCGTTCAGTTATTTCGTTGAGTCGCAAATTCTGTTTCACTTATTTTCGTTGCCACGATCCCACGTATGACGATATTAACGATAAATCTCGTTGTTTCGTCGTTAAAATCCGATAGTTGATACCTATGCTAGTAGAGGAATATCAATATCGATCTTTCCGAAAATCCCATGGGAGTGTTATATTGCGTTGCATTCAGTTGCGATAATTAGAGCGTATTTGGCAGACGAGGGAAATGCGAAACGCTCAAGTACTTTGGTTGTTTTTCACGAACCGTAGTCTTTTCTTAGAAACACGGTATTTCGCGAATTTTCCCTTTTCGGGTTGCCTAAACGAACAATTCTATACGCATCGTGTAAACGTAAAAGGGATCGATATATCGCGATTCTTCGTATATTTCCGAATTCCGAGGGATTTTGCTACGAGAGAGAGGCCCGCAAATACGCTGACGAATCTCGCGTGATTGCAACTCGTGTGCTGTCGATTCGATTTAGCGTGTGAGCCACAGTTGAGAAGAGACGCTCAGTGAACGGACCGAGACAGCTAGAGCGATAATGACTGGACAGTTTATCTCGACGTACGGACACGAATGCCGATTCGCCAAAGACGCGTGCATCGATTTTGATTTCGATGGGCGAAAAATCGAGAGGATGCGAAGCAAGCTGTGAAGAAAAAGAATAGAGGAAGGAAGGAAGGAAGGAAGAGAGAGAGAGAAAAGTCGATGATACATTGGGAAAATTCGAAAGAAATGGGATTGTAAAATGGAGGATCGAAGAAAGAGGCAAGAACAAGAGTACTCGACTTCGAATCGAGTTCTTCGAAACGAAAATTGCGTAGTTGTCGCGAACAGATGATTTGGTGCGCACACTCCCGCGCGTTCCCTTTGTGTTATTTTCGGGCGGAATCACCGTTCGAAGCTTTAAATAGGACCGACTTTCCGACAAAGAAGACAGTTTACAACATCGATTCTACATGCTGGAGCATCGCAGAGTATTCACCGTGAGTAAATAACCATGAACGAGATTTGCGAAAGAAACGTCAAACGCGACATTTTCTCCGATCACGCGTAATTTGGAAAGACTGTCGCACGAACGTTTTTCTCTTTCACCTCGAATCGTCGCGTGGCGTCGCGTCGCATCATCGTGTCACGCCGTGTCTCGCAAGTAGTTGCGTTGCATCGCATTTTCGCGTAGTGTCATTTAACACGGGCCATCGCATTCCATCTTGCCTAAAAATCGACGTATCGACAATTCCATTCTACGTACGTTTCGAGGCGTGTGAGCCAAGGTGAAAGAAAAGAATAAACGAGCGGCAAGAAGATGCGCGTTCGAGAGACAAAGTATAAGATCGTGTGCGAGGAGACAAAATGGTGTAAGAAAGAAGAGTAAACGGTAGTAGAGTGGTTCCCGAAGAAAAATAGGCTAAGAGACGTTTCTCGATCGGCTCGATCGACGCGCTTCCGATATCATCGCCAAAATTGTATCACCACTTTGGCACGGTCTCGACGCGGCGACGTTCGAAACAGTCGAGATCTCGATCGTTCCGTCGGAGAGCAAATCATATCTGTTGCGGTTGGTTCGGTGATTCATGCGCGCGAGAATCAAGCGACACTGCGCAAGCGACTCGAGGTTGAACGAGCAATAAACACGGCGACCGTAGAATCGGGAACTGGAGAAGTACTAGACGGAAGTGACGTGACCGTAAAATGGTTTTTTTCCAGCTGAAAAATTATAGCGATAAGGAGAATCTGCAACTGTACGGTTAATCCTTGTTTTTTGTCGATTCGAATATGCACAACAGATGCCTTCGGAATGCATCGCCAATCCATTGCAGCGAGAGCTAGCCGATGCTATAATTCGATTGCAATCGCTCGACGAGATTCGAATCCTGCTGGCCTGCGGAGCGAAGGCGAACGAGCCTGTAACGCAGGGATTGAGACCGTTGCATTACGCCGTGTGGCAGAGGTACACGGAAGCGGCTCAGTTGTTGCTGGTACGTGGCGCGGACATCGATGCGACCGACGAATGTGGCTATTCGGCGTTGCATCTTGCTGCTGAACATGGTTATTTGGATTTAGTAAAAGTATTGCTCGAGCATGGTGCCAAAGTCGATCATAGACCGGAAACTGGAGAACTTTTTCCAAGGTACGACGATCCCTTTCTGTCTTCTTCGTTTCTCTTCCATCTCCTTATTATCCACCCCCTTCTTTTCTCTGCTAATTACTCTGATTTGTTTATCGATGTTTGTTCGCCCTACGCGTTAGTCACGATGCATTTGTCGATCTCGATCGACAAACGCCAACCGCGATTATACGGATAGCATAGCTGACGTCGATGCGTGATCTTTTGATGAGAAATTAATTGGCTCAACGACCTTGGAGCGAGAGCCAAAGATTAGCCGCTTTCCATACTATGAATTCCTATCGCTAGATTTAATTGCATCTCTCTCTCTCTCTCTCTATACGCTCATAAAATTGTCGTCATTTATTTTTGTCGATGTTAAGAAACGATGGGTGGTAGAGGGAGACGAGGAGGTGGAACGGGAGGGAGGGAAAACGGGAAACATAGTTAAAGAAAGGGAAGAAAACGGACTGGATAATATTAAAATTAGGGGACAGAGAGAATAGAATAGATTACGGTAAGATCTATTATGATCTGCGCAGGACAACTTTGTGCGACGAACCGCTGCGGCTCGCATTGAGAAATCGGCACGTAGAGGTGGCCAGAGTTCTGCTGGAAGCTGGCGCGAATCCGAATAAAAGATACTTCTTTGGATCGGAAATTAATCTGGTCTCTCCGTTGGATCTGCAATGCATGGAGTTGTTGTTAGCGTTCGGGGCTCAACCGAATACGCGGGATCGCGCTGGACTCACACCGTTGATGAAAGCGGCGAGACTGCCACAGGTAAATGATCGAGATGGCGAAAACCGAGAGCTATATTTATTGGATGAGAACGTGGTGTTCGTGTCAGGGTATAGCTTCGGTGCTGCTTCTGCTGAGCTATGGAGCTGACGTTAATTCGATGGCCGATTCGCGACACGACTACCGGACTGTTCTGCATTACGCGATCCTCGGCGGCGATCCGACGGTGATCGATCTGCTGCTAAAGCAAGGCGCTCGTCTCGATCTCGGACCCGAATATCAGAAACCCACGGCTCTCGACCTGGCCATTTTAAAAGGAGATCCCTCGATAGTACAAATGCTGCTGAAATCGGGTAAGTTCGCGTGTTCGTGCTTGTCTCGACTTACCATCTGATATTACCGTGCATCCGCTGCCTTTCCGTACAAAATTCCTCGAATTCCTCGCTTAATCACTCGATAACTCCATCCTATGGCATAAGTAGAATATATCTAAAGTTGTTTTAAACGATCTCTGGATAACGTTGCGACTAAACGATTTCGAACTTAGGTGCTGATGTAAATGCTACCTCGCCGATCATCGGATCGCCCCTTCACGTTGCCTGCGCCGACAACATTCCGAATAGACTGGAAATCCTGTCGATGTTGCTGGAACGAGGAGCGGACCCGAACTTGGTGATACGCAGCGACGAAGGTCCCGCGTTGAGACCGGTTCTCGCAGAATACGTCGCTTCGAACGAGAATCCTTCGGTCGAGGTGGTAGCCCTTTTACTCAAATACGGGGCAAGGGTCGTCATCAAGACGCAGTTCCGCGACCCTCACGGCATATTGAACTCTCTTCAGAACACGGCTGATAAGCCACGATTGCTGAAGGCGTTGTTGGAAGCGGCAGAAAGTTTCGATCCTTGCATGATAAGAAGATCGAGTAGTTTGACAGATGCACAAAAAGCACTTGTGATGAAAGCAGCACGGACTCCATTGCCCTTGACTCATCAAGCCAGGCTAATAGTTCGCAAACTTTGCGGCACTAAATTGCCCAAAATTGTTCGTACGCTACAATTACCTCAGTCGTTGCATCGCTATCTTCTCTACGATTTTCACTGATCCGTCGTCGGATCCAATCGACGTCTCGTTGCGGCTTTCTGTTCGCAGCATGATCGTATCGTATCGCACATGGCGCAAGCGTGCTATTGTTTCTCCTCCTTGTTCGTTGCGCTCGGTCACCATCGCTGCCTCTCTCGGTCGACTCTTTCGTCGCTGCGTTGTTCTCGCTATTCTTGTCTATTCGTTGATACGATTCGTTTGAAATTATCGGTTCGCATGTCTCGGTGTTGTTTGACCTAGCATGTTTAAGGAACATGTGCATTTCGTTCGAACGTATTTCCGACCGTGCTTGACAAATATAGCGATCGATGTCCACTGGTACATCTTTTCATTATGATTCTGAGCGTTCGTCGATGTACCATCCATTTGACCGCAATTATGAAATAAGATACAGAGTCGAATTCTATTCCTACGAGGTATATATTTTCATTTCAGATAGATGTTTCATTTGCGTCATGATCGAAAATCGTTGTTCGTGATTTTTACGTACGCTCCACTATTACTTTCCTACCAGCGACTTATCCACTAAACTTTTGTATGTTTATTTAGCACGCGTCCTAATATTTGTAAATTTGTATATCCGCGTAAATAGGATAAGGGTCTGAATAGCGCGGATGTGTGTGTACGTTTGTCGTATACGTAGCCGTTCTGATACATATACTTACATGTGTCATTGTATATACATATTTTGCACACTTGTGGCGCTGCATAAAATTTACGAGATGAAATAAAATAAACGATATCTCTATGTTATATTATGTATCATGACTAAAGAAACCGCCTCGTTTCACGAACTCTGAATATGTGATTCTTTGTACAAAGTGTTTCGAATAATTCGAAAAATATGTAAAACTGAGCGGAACGAAACGGTAGAAATTGAATGGAATGGGGAACGGACGGCAGACGAAAAATGGTTGGAGAGAGGAAAACAAGGTATCACGTGTAAATCTGAAAAAAGAACATATATAGATGTAGAAAAAGTGTAATATGCGCGTGTACAACAGGCACAAATATACGTAGCTGGGTTGCCCACGAAATGCAACGCGTGGAATGTTGGCCAGTGATAGTGTGACGTCGATTCATTCTCAACTACCTCATCTTACCCTTTCTTATTCCATCCTTTAAATAGCAACCCCGATACGGTGACCCGCGTCAAAGCATTGACAATCGGTTGCATCAGCGTAGAAATTGCGAGTACGAACATGCGCGATTGATTGCTTATACGAATCTCGAGATATATAATAATTCTATTTTTCTTCTTTAATCTTTTTCTCATACAACGATCACAACGATAAATTTATTTCTTTTCCCGATGTATGTACTTATCGTGCATACATGTACTTACAAGTACGCACGTTTCTTTTCTAAACGCAGCTCATCGAGAGATTGCAATTGCAATAATTTTTCTCCCATTAAATATCTTGAATAAAAAAGAAAAACGATATGTATAATACGTATATACAAATAAATATGTATATGTACATAATGCATATATTGGTTAGGAAATGTCGTAAGACGTGAAAAGATAAACGGAATGAAATGATACATACAAGTGCATACGGGTTCAGCTGATTTCCCTCCATATCGATCAAATGAGTTATTCGAGTTCGTTCGCGGTTTAAACAAATAATCATATCGATGATCGGAATCAAATTGAAAAGAAGGCGTAGGAATGTCGCTGTTTCGACGAATCGCGTGATTCTTGCATCCAAACTCATAATTCTAATTCTGCGATTTCTCGACGTTTGTTCGTACCTGATATCCTTATTACGTTTCCTCGGCAAAATATTTCCATATTCTTGTAGTGGTAGATGTTCTGTCTCAACTTTGTATAGTTTTCAGCTTCTGCTTATTCGATATCGATATGATCAACTAAGTATTTAAGAAATATGAACATATGTATGTACATACAATATATGTACGATATTTTCAGATAAAATGGAAGATGATTGCTGTCTAAACGAAAAAATGTTTATTCGTAATTCTTTCTCTTTTTTCCTACGTGTATTCTGAATTCGTAGGAATACGGTGACTAAGCTCTTTCGTACGAATATTACGACGATAGACGATATTTCTAGCAATCTATGTAATATACCGAACAAACACATTTAGTTACATAATATAAAAATACACAGATCGTTCAATACATTGTTACAAATATCATCATCGTACAAACAAGAGTGCGGACGATGCATTTATGTACATATACATAAACAGGTAGGTACAAGTTAAACGAAGAAATTGGGATAAGATGTGCTGCGGCAATAGCGGTATTCACGCTGTCGTACGATGACATGATTTTATCGAATCGAGATATTGCCGATTATCGATTTGCAGCCGATCGAGAATAGGGTTGCCTCGAATCAAGTCGATTTAAAGGAATTCGATCGATACGAAATGAAAACTCTATAGAGGATGCTGACAGGGAGGTGGTGGCTAACAATAGGTAATTATATTAATAGGAAGAATAATATTATATGTAAAGGAAAACGTAAGAGGGGAGGTGAGAAGGAAGAAGGAATAGAGAAGCGTATGGTTTCAACGATACGCTAAAGCAATACCATTTGAAGCGACAATGGCTGTCAAGGCGTTTGGATCTCTCCTACGCTTTAATAGGTTGACGTCTGGAGTATGGAACGAGAAAGGAAATATTCTTGCCAAGAGGATGGAAGCGTTGCTTAGCATTGAAAGGTAAGCTTAGCATAAATAGCTTCCAACTTTTACCAAAGTCGTTTATACGTTTGGTTATGTAATAATATCATAACCTATAAGTAACAGTTATGTATTCCAACGCAAAGTTATAAAGCAAGTATTGGAAATATTACAGCCAACGACGAGGCGCGCATCAGTGGACTCCTGATCCACAGGACTACGAATCTCTCATGAAACAAGAAAATGCCAAAGTGTTGGTACCTGAAGGCAAATTGCCTGATTCAAAATTGCGTTGGAATGAGATGCCGCAGACCTCAGTAGACTCGACGGACTATCGAAACACTGTACTCAATTTTGGTCCTCAGCATCCAGCAGCACACGGAGTATTACGGTTAATCCTTGAGCTGGATGCCGAGTATGTACTACGTGCAGATCCTCATATAGGTCTTTTACACCGGGGTACAGAGAAATTGATCGAATATAAAACATACATGCAAGCTTTACCTTATTTCGATCGTTTAGACTACGTTTCCATGATGTGCAACGAACAGTGTTTCTCCATAGCTATCGAGAAATTATTGAATATCGAAGTGCCGTTACGAGCAAAATATATCAGAAGTAAGTATCTGACATTTGTGAAATACAGTATCGATGAGGGGTGAGAGAAGGAGAGAGAAAGAATCATATAGAGAGGTAAATAAAAGTTGGTTTGGTTAAAGTCGTTTGTGTGTTTTAGCTCTGTTCGCAGAGATCACAAGAGTCCTGAACCACACTATGAATATTGGAACACACGCTCTTGATATAGGAGCTATGACACCGTTTTTCTGGCTGTTCGAAGAACGAGAAAAACTGATGGAATTTTACGAACGCGTGAGTGGCGCTCGTATGCACGCGGCTTACATTCGTCCTGGTGGTGTTGCTTTGGATATACCGTTGGGTTTAATGGATGACATATACGAATGGTCCACGAAGTTCGCAGCACGATTAGACGAAGTGGAGGATTTGTTGTCGGAAAATAGAATATGGGTCTCACGTACAAAGGACATTGGAACGGTAACGATGCAGCAGGCGTTGGATTGGGGCTTCAGCGGTGTGATGCTAAGGGGTTCCGGAGTAAAGTGGGATATAAGGGAAAAAGCACCATACGATGCTTACGATTTAGTCGAATTTGACGTTCCAGTCGGTGTAAACGGAGATTGTCTCGATCGGTAATAAAAAGATGAAAATGGAAAAAAGATAAAGATCACTTATCGTATCTCGCGATAAATCGTTGATCGAACCTTTCCGACGTTTTTTAGATATCTGTGCCGCATGGAGGAGATGCGTCAATCATTGCGAATCATTTATCAGTGCTTGAATCAAATGCCGGAAGGTGAAGTGAAAGTCGACGATGCAAAGATCGTACCTCCTAAAAGGGAAGAAATGAAAACTAGCATGGAAGCGTTGATACATCATTTCAAGTTGTTCACTCAAGGATTCCAAGTGCCTCCTGGAGCTACGTATACTGCGATCGAAGCGCCAAAGGGAGAATTTGGCGTTTACCTTGTCAGCGATGGTAGTAGCAAACCTTACAGATGCAAAATCAAAGCACCGGGGTTTGCCCATTTGGCAGCTCTACGTCACATGGGTCCTGGGTGCTTCCTCGCCGATATTGTGGCAATTATCGGTACCTTGGATGTAGTATTCGGTGAAATCGATAGATAAACCGTTCATCTTGTTTCTTCGTCAAATGTATCTCGTACGTAGAAAATTTCGTAGGTACCATTACGTTATTATTCACTCTCGTCTGTGTACGCTGTAGAAAATAAACGTATTTACATGGATGAGAGAAAAATAAGAGAAATATAATGTATTCGTTACCGTTTAGGTCGAGATGTCCGACGATATGTTGTCCCCTTATCCTTACCTATAATATAACTCATGTTGCAGATGTTTGATTGTAGCCGAAAAGAATCAAAGAGTAAGAATGGAAAGGACGAAAGACGGGAGGAGAGGGGGAGATGGGTTGGTTGGTTCGAAAAAGCAGGAAGGAGGAAAATCTATTCGTGGTATGCGCACATGGATAAAGTAATAATGCCGCGTTACTTGTAGCGCGAACAATGTCATTCGCCATTTACGTAATATATTTGAACAAACATGATTCTACGAATAATTTAACATTATCACGATCGTTTCCGGGTTGTCCGATACGTCCGGAAATGTCTTTCCATTTCCACGAAATTACAGGAATTAGTTTCCAACCAAAGGGTCAAGGTGTTCGTTCTCCGTGATCCCGGCATGCATCGGGCAGAGGTAGAACGTTCGTTACACAATTATTCGATGGCAATTATGTACTAGTTCGCACCAATGAACGTTCCGTTTCGTCTGTTCCCTTGCACGCGTCTTATTCATCCTTCCTCCCTATTGCCAGCTTGTAATCGCTTAGATTATAGAGCAAGATTTTACACGTTTTTTCCATTGAATTGTACGATCAAGTATATTAATTCCGCGAATTATCGTTTTTAGCGGTATCATTTTCGCATTAGAAGCGATTAATGCGTTCATGAACGTTTCCGCGATCTTTCCACTACATCCGTTTGTACGATTATTCTACTATGCTAAATGACGCGTATGTTTTGACGCGCGAGTCGATGCAAACACGACAACTTGATGGAAAAGTAAAAGACGTAGGGGACAAAAAGTCGGGGAAGAGCGAAGTAGAGAATGCAAATTGCAAGGAAATAAGGTAATCTAAGAAGGAAAACAAGGAAGATCGTAGAGAAGGGAAAGGGCCGATAGGGTCGAGTGGTCGGTATTGCGTATGATGGGGTGTGACGACGGTACGTCAAAGTAGATCCAGTAGATAGAGGTGGAAAAGTAAGTGGTATAGGTGGGTAGAGGAACAGCGGCGAAAAGTGAACTGGCAAAACGAGAGAGAAAATGGATGACACGATGTAGAACGTAAAAACGAGATGAGGCGAGACAAGAGAAGGAAGAGCGACGAACGAGAAGTAGAGGTATTAGCTGGTAAGAAAACGTAGGAGGAGCGAGGGAATGTAAGCATAATGTAAAAGTGGAAACAGCGACAGAGAGAGAGAGAGAGAGAGAGGGAGGCGGGTAGGCAAAGGTGATGGCGGCAGCGCGACGCGAGGAAGAGTACAACGGAACGAAGAAACGAAGGAAAGAGCGGATGAATGGAGACGAAACGAAGAAGGAAGAGCGGAGAAGTGGAAAAGGAGTGGGGCAATGATAAATCGTTCACCTGAACCGCATGCTCGCCGTTCAGGATCCAGTGGAACGGTAAGAGAGTAGTAACGTTCTTTGGGTTGTCCGTCGAGCAGTGTATCGGCTGACCTCGCAGCGAACGTTTCGCCCAGCGACGTAACACAGATTTCCGCTCGATTTCCCTCGAGATCCTGCGTAGTTTTAGTTTCATTCGCGATCACCGCACGAGCGTAAGTCGGTCGCGATTAATTTGAAAGATCGAAGCTCAATCGTGCCCGCGTTCGGTCGTTTTGATTTCGAGCGCGCGCGCGCGCGCACGAACGCACGCACGCGCTCCCCCGCGTTCAACATACGTATATCAGGAGCGGATAAAAGCAGTTCCGTCGTGGTACAAAGAAGAAATCATCGTTGTTTTACCGTTGGTCGTGCGGTGATCCTGGGTATCGGTGTAAAAAGGCGGGTTAACTGGCTGATTAGAGAGAGAGAGAGAGAGAGAGAGAGAAAGAGAGAGAGAGAGGTGAATCGTAGTTTGGCCGCGTTATACCGCGTATTTGGCGTAGATCGTCTAACACCGTACAACGGAGCGGTATCGTTGGTTCGTTGGCGACGTGACGCACCGCCAGTGGCACACTTGTCGCTTGGAAAGGAGAATAGACTTTCTCCTTCTCGTCGTTCTTCGTACCACCGCCGCCTTTCCTCTCGTTCTTGTATAGGAAGCATCGCGGTCAAAGGCTTGGACGTCGACGACGACAACCGTAACCACAACGACGACGAAGACGAAGACGACAGCGGGGGCGACAGTGACGACGGCGAGGACGGGGGTGAGGACGAGTACGAGGAACGAAGCTAGAAAGGAAGATCCGAACGAGAAGCGAAAAACGAAGACGCGAAAAGAAACGCGGCGGCGCGTCTCATGAAGAAAAGAAGAGAACTTGTATTAAAAGCAAATAAAAAAGTCGTGCAGTGAGCGTTCGATCGTTAGAGAGACGGTAATCGAGGGATAGCACCGAGACGAAAGGAAAAAGGAAAGAAGAGATCGAGAGAGAAAGAGGGAACAATCGGTTGATCAAGATGAGAGTACATCGTGGGATTTGCGCGAAACTCCAAGGAGGATTCCTTAGGCGATGGTGTAAGTAATCGCGAGGATGTAACGTTTTAAAGCAGGCTAAAGTCGAAACTGGAGGAGAAACGATTTGTCCGTTTTACGATGTAGTCGGCTCGATCGCGCACCGTCGTTTCATAGGCCACGAGGGGCCAATGTTAACGAGACGGTTAAAGACGTTGTTACCGGCGCTACACAGGCATCGCGCTCGGTGCGTTTTTAATTCAATTTAGCGAACGTGTCATCTCGTACGCTTAGCTCGCGATGATTCACCGTGCGTTGCGCCGTATTCGTCGTGTCGTACCTCGAATCGGATCGGGTCGAGCTGGATCGGATCGGATCGGATCGGATCGGATCGTGTCAGGTTAGGATTTTCAACGAAATTTCAAAGGAAAATCGATCGCGACGATGAAAATTCGCCGGGCGTGAGCGCGAGTCGGAGTCTCGCTTACTTTCACTCGAAGACCGGGAGTTTCGAACGCGAATGCCGTGTGCAGCGGTTCACTCTCGTTCGGATACATATTATGCATATCGACCGAGCGACGAACAGCTAGGATTTGCTAGAAAGAGATTGAAAGTTGGCGAGAATCGGCGTAAAATACGAGAAAAGTCGAGCGACGAAGAAGCAATTGATGTAAAGCCGCGTTTCCTCGCTCGGAGCTCGCGAGTATCGTTTTCGTATCGGAAAAGAAGTAATATCGAGGGAGTGGGGTTGGGGCGAATAAGTCGAGGAGAAGATGCAGAGGGAACTCGTTATGTTCGCGCGTACGATTCCGGGAACTCGTTTGGTTTGTCTCTGACGTCCATCGTCTAGTTATGCAATTTTCTGGTTCAATATCCATTTACCGTGCCTTCGACGGAATTCTCCGACGTCTCGGCGATCCGTCGACGACGACGGAAAACCGGCGCAAAGACGGAACGATAATTCAGGTTGAATCAGACCGATCGTAGTTGGTTTCGTCCGTGGAGCGTGAAACCTTCCGAGTAAGAGCAGGAAGCGTACGAGCTTATATAATCGCGAGTAATTGCCGGTTTGTACGCGTAGGTAGGTATATAGGTTCGGCATTTCAAAATCGAAGAGGGTTACGTGCGTTCCGAGGAGGATGATACTCGCACGATGCTCGACTCGATGTTGCGAGGTTTTTGCCGTAACAACCAGTTTGAGCAATCTGTGAACAAATTCGCGATCACACGGCTGCGTCGTTTCCATAGCTTGTCACTGTCGAGCTTGTTTCGTTGATCTCCGACGGATCGATTTCCACGCGATGGAACGTAACGCGACACGATACCTTGATACTGGAACGAGCGAGAGAGAATCGAATGGTATGGAAAGGAATAGAACGGAATGCAACGAAGGCGAAGACAGAGGAAAGGGAGAATCGTGCGTTGCACGCGGTAGCTACGAGTTCTCTCTCCTTCTCTCTCTCTCTCTCTCTCTCTCGTTCCAAGTCGTACGTGTCGCGATTACACCGACTAGTCGATTGAGCGAACGCGTTACATTCCTTTCGAGTTAATATCGTCGGCTCTGGCGGCAAGGGAGAGAGCGAGGAGTTGGACGCGAACACGGTTAATCGATGTCGAATAACGCGGTTGGTCGTTGGTCGTTGGTCGTTGGTCGTTGGTCGTTGGTCGATGGTCGATGGTCAATGGTCGACGAGAATGGTTTGCTCGACGGGCGAGATCGTAAGGTCGCGAGAGATGATTGGAAAATTTGGAGGTCGCGACGTCGCGGTATTCCGTGTTAGCGATCGGTCGAAAGGAGAGCGGTGCAAGGATCGAGAAAAGAAGTTGCTCGTTGGGGACTGGTGGCGGCAACTTACTCGGTCCGTTTACTCGCGCCGAAGGTGAACCGCTCTCGCGGAACGCGACCTACGAAATTCCATTCTCGCCTCGATTTTGCCAGTTGCGTAAACGAACGGTCGAGCGTGCGCGTGCATCGTGGTGCACGCACACTCGTTGACCGGCGCTTCGCGTGATCGCGCTTTCACCTAGGTGCAATTTCTTTGGTGCTACGCGCAATTCGCGCGCGACCTCCACCTCCTCCGTCTCCCATGAAAGAGTAATCGAACACGAATAAAAGCGACACCGATGATCGTAACTCGTACGATTAGACTTGGCGCGATAGAATCGTGCGTCGTTTC